CAACTGTTGCATGGAACTGGATGACAGTCTGGGTTGTTTTACACTGCATGTATGTTTTACGCATATGCAGTGAAACCTTAACACAGAGATAGAAAACGTGGTGTGCTCCAGGTACTTTTAGAGTACAACTGCCTTTAGCCATAGAAAGTATAAACATTTGTGAGAAATAATAACAGATGCAGTGTAACAGTAACTGGAATAACACATTTCCCATCCCTGCTGTAATGTAAGAACTACCAACATTAAAAAAAAAAAACCATATACAGAGTACTGGGTTATATGCCTATTGTGGCTGCTCTGCCATCAAAAATGTCCACCAGTCATAGGTGGACATGGTTTTTGCCAATTCCCATTCTCCCTTGCACTCAGCTGTAAACTGCAAATCTGCTAGAATGCATTCTCAAACTTTCTGTCAGCTTTAGACTGTATGCAGAGAGACTACAAGGTAGAAAGGGAAAATGCTAGAAAGTATTTCCATCCCCTTTCCACTGGCAGACACATCCATCAGTGAGGTAGCTACAACCTGATGCAAACAGCTATATTAAGTTCTAAGGGGAGAGATGTAATGTGTGGAAATAATTCTTAATCAATTTATTCATCTTATGATACAAACTGCTTATGGTTAGATTAAGATAAACTATCTTAAAGATATGAAATTAAAACTTCTACTGTTCTTTTGTCCTATTTATAGAACATGCATTTATAGAACATGCATTTCCATTTTAAGCTAAAGAAAGCCTGGCATATAGCACAGAAACATTAACCTAGTCCTGTTAGAATCCTTGCTTAAAGAAATAATGTAACAAGTTGAAAATGAAAGATTTCTGTAAAATTCTCACAAAAATCATGTGAAAATCATCTCTGGTAAAAAAAAACAAAAACAAAACCCATACCTGTTTCTATATTCTATATTCTAACCATGCCTATTTCTAATGTAGTGCAATGCATTACAGTTATAGTTCTTAACTTTTATTAACTATGAACTAAGTAGTCACAAGTACAAGCAAAGAACTACTAGAGGGGGAAAATGGGACAAGAGCACATATTGTAAGCACACATAACCCTAAGTTTCAGCAACAATAGCAGGATTGTGCCTTTACAGTTCCACAACTATTTCTTGATATCACTTTCAAGAGAAAGTTAACACCATACTTAAACTACTAATTCAGGATACCAATGTTTACATGTTCAAACATATGTGCACTCTCTCATATATTTATACACAGAAATATTTGCCCTGTTCTTTCTTCTACCAAGTTTTCTGTTAAAGTTCTTGGTGCTTTTAAACTAGAGGACATGCACAGCTGTTGAAATACTTTTTCTTTTATGAATGATTATAAGAAGCACAATGTGAAACTGACATAGTGATGTTATTTCCTCAGCAAAACATTACACTTTGAAATAGATGAAATTGTCTAGTATTGCATTCAAAAGTGGTATACATTTGTTTATTAATCAACTCCTGAAACTGAGAATTGTCAATGGAAAAATTAAGCACTGTAAAATTATTTGTCCCAGACCAATGAATTGCAAAAAGAATTATTCGGAAAAATGCAACACCACCAGCAAGTTATCCCTACATGTTCTTCCTACCCCCACAAGTTGTTTAATGACTGTTAAGCATGAACAGAAATAGTCCAGAGAATGTCTGAACACATTTATTTCTATGCTACCAATAATGGAAGTAAAGAGTGGTCAGAATGCATAAAACCAATGTATTAAAATCTGGATTAAAGGGAATCAAATGAGGTGCACTAAAGCCATTAGAAAATCTTTGCCACGTACAGTAACACAAACCAATGTTCAGTAAGTTTTTCAGATAAGCTATAGCACACACATTGAATCAGTTTTATTATACCAAGAGGAATACTGAACCTTTAACCAATATATCAATTTGACTAAAAAAGACACAACATAAATAATCATATGAAGCACTCAGAGCTTGTTTTCAACACCAGAAATCTCCCTGTGCTTCTAGACTTCTACCCTGCAGAGTTTCTCTATCATTGGTCATCTTCCCGATCTTAAAAACTGTCCAAATGAAGTTTTAAGTCCCCTTTTCTGTCATGTGTTTTGATCTGTAGATTGTTCTTTTCTGACTATGCACTCTTTTCTATTTTGTGCAAGCTTCTTTAAGCTTGTTAGCCACATATGCACCTACAATTCCCCCTCTTGAATTAGTTTGATGTAACTGCATTAAGGTCTTTTTGTCTCTCTCTCTCATTCAGTTAACTATTGCATGTTCTTATTTATGCCCCAATATGTTGGCTCACACTTTACAGCAATTCTGATCTTCTATCTTTTTATTTCCTTTTTTCCTGTATGTTACATGTATTTCTTCATTCAAATGTCTCCAAGTGTCCATTCTTTCATTTTATCTATATTCTGCGGCACATACATAGAATTATGTATGTTTCTTACATTTTCAGGTATGGAGTCATTCTTCCTATCAGCCTGGCAAGATCAACAAAAACTCCTTGCTGCTTTTCATGATTTGTGCCACATCTATGACAGTCCCTCCATCAGCATCCAAGGATTTGCCACTGTTTAAAAATTATGTTGGCCCAAGAAGTTTGCACAAAATGTCATTGCAATTTGATTATTTTTAATCAAATATTAAATATTAAACTGCAAAATATTGCTGTTACACAAGTGTGCACTTACATTTTTCCAATATATTTTCTCTGATTGATGTCCTTGCAAGTTTCCTCTGTTGAATTTCCCCTCCATTTACTTTTCAGACTTGACATTTCCCATTAAAAAGATTTAAATGGTCCAAATGAGGCATCAGCTCTGAAGGACTTACATCCATCCCCCAATACTTCCTCCATACACCTGCCTTCTCAATTTTGTCAGATAAATGCAATAACCACAGCAATATTAGCTCTGAAAATGAACCACAAAAAGGGCTTTTGTCGGGTTAATATCTTCCTTTGTGGAATAGATGGAGATAAGGGAAAGGTCAAAAAGAGGGAAAAACAAAAAGGATTCCACACTTATGTTGCTAAGCTGTTCAGTTAAAAATTATCTGTGAAGGGGAAAAATGTTTCAAAAAAGTAGTGGCAACAAGATTAGCAACTGTCCACAATTAGCCAATTTGCATTCTTATCCTGTCAATCTGTTACCCAGTGTGCTTTCCCACTTCGTTTGACAACTAAAACATGCAAAGATATGCAAGTCAACATATATCAAAAAGGCATAAAGATGCGTTCATGCAGCTATAAAAATCCAACTTTCAAATTACTAACGCAAATGCACAATTTCCTAAGTGCGAACCCTCTTGATCCTAACTGCACATTTTGTGGCTCTGAAAAAAGTGGTAAACAAAAAGAGATAATGATCAGAGCAGGGAGAGGAAGGTAAGACTGATGCTGCCACAAAGCACTCTGGGATATTGGCTGGAAGACTATGGGGAAAAGATAACAACCCATACTGAACCTGATCAACTGTTTGGCATACCATGGATTCTTCCATGAACCACCAACCCACCATGGCCTTTTGCTTAGCATGACATACAAAGATGGCAACGTGTTTTAGAGGGTCAGATCTAACCCTAAATGTTCTACTGCATTTGCCGATGTCATTGCATATTTGACCAAATGAATTCTTATCGCTCCATGCCCTGTCAATAGTAGCCAATAAGGAATCAAAGCAAGGCAGTCAAAATCTTTAAGTTCATCCTTTCACCATGGATTGAAGAAATAAGGCTGCATATGAAGAAGAGTGCACCTCATTAGATGGTAGGAATAGACCAAATTATTTCTTCACTGCAAACATCTGTTTCTTTTACCCTCTGGAGCCCAACTAGTGACAGAGAAACAAGGAGCACAGTAAAGAATAAGCAGCTGAGAAAGGCATTCTCCTAGCTCTAGCTGCTTACTACAAAAGGGAAGGAAGAACTGGGAAGGATACCCAGCAGCATTAGGGGAACATTGCTGAGTTACGAATTTCTTATGGAAGAACTAGGCAGCATTCCTATGAACAGGATAGATGTTCTGTGCTCATTCCTGCCCCCATTTTGAAAAATCACAACCCCAAGTTCTTCCTGAATGTGGAATATGGTCTAATGGGTAAAAGCAAACCAAAACCCAGAGTTTCAGGGTGAAAATTACAATGACGCCTTTTTTGGAAGCCATGTTCCAGCTGTCTTCAAGAAATCTACCCACTAAATCTAGATCACCAGCTTTGTCTAAGACAAGGATGGGATGAGATTCCTGATGGAGAATGAATTAGTAGTTGCTAGTGGCTTCTTGAGTCCATAAAATGGAAATAGCATTAAATTATACTGCTACTAGAACTTCCACTTTTAGAAAGTTAAGACAAATTCAAATCCAAAGCCCATCTGATAAGGTTAGAAATTAAAGCAGAAAAGGACTAAGTGTGGCAGTAGTCCTTCAGCTGCCCTTATATATCACATAGTAACTAGAAGCATTTCAAATAAAGTCTGAAAAACTAAATACCATGTCTTTTGTCCATACTAGCAATCATCTAGCATTTATTCATTTGATTATCAGGATTGGGTGAAGCACTGAAGGGTTCTGGTTGTATTACTTTGAATTGGACTCAGAAGCAAATGAGAAGCCAATGCAAGCAGGCCAGGATTGATCAGACTATCTGATCCCTGTTATTTATCTGGCTGCTGCATTTTCTACAAGCTGCAGCTTCTGAAGAGTCTTCAAAGGCACTTTACAATTTCTAATCAATGGAAATGTGCTTTTATACATACAGTGTCATCAGTGGTCTATATTTTTAAAAGTATCTACATTCTTAATTTTTCACAGTGAAGATCTGAACAGGGCTTTAAAACCAGGATACAAACAACTCTTCTATAGCAACACACTTTAAAATGATACCTAATTTGATCAATACCATAATATACGGTAAAATCATTCAGATCCGATTCTACCTCCTATTTGAATGTTACAATATTTTCAGACAGAGTTTTAGAAATGTAATATAATGCAATATTTTCAGACAGAGTTTTAGAAATATCTACTTGCCTAGCAAAACCTTGGCGTCTTCTATATCAAAATCTCCATCTCCATCAGCATCATAGATTCCAAGTTTTCCTGAAGTAGAAAGATAAAAATTAATGCAGTAGATTTACTTCAAAAACAATCAGTTGGATGACATATGTAGCAAGAAATTAAGACACTAGCAAACTCTTATAGAAGGTTCATTCCAAACCATAAACCTACTACTCATTTCAGGATGTTTTCCACCTGAACAAACTGATCTTCTTAAAAGACAATATAATATGATGTAAACACAAAACCTTCATACTTGCTGGAAATACTTAATACTTTCACAATTTTATAAAGTTAACCATTTGTATCTTGCATGTCTAGGAAAGACAAGTGACACAATGATAGTAATCCTTCTCCATTCATATCAACAGGAGTTTTGCTATGTATTTCACCTAGCAACATCTACTGTAACCATTGCATTGTGATTGCTTATTAATACAATCACATATCTTATTTATACCCCACCAATCCACCAAGCAAATAGGACCTAGTTATCATAAAAACATTTTTGCCAAATCATACAATATTATATAAGTAGCAGTTCAATCACAATGTTGATTTCAGAAGAAGTGCAGTTGCATATGATGAAAAACATTCATGCGCCTAGGAAAGTATGATAAATGCTGTATTTGGGACACTGACAGAACCTAGGTTCCAGTCATGCAAGAGGAGTTCAAGCAGAAAGTGAAATCAAAGAAATGCATGCCAACCTGCAACTATTCTGAACTGAAAAGATCAATATGTAAGGAAAATAGGTAAAGCTATAGTTTCTGTCATAACTTATTGCCCAAGGCAGAAGCAATACGCACATGGAGAATAAGATGAAATATAGATTTGCCCAAGTTGTTGCTGAAAAGAAAATGATACCCTTACCATTCCAATACAGGCAGTCCCTGGGTTACAAACAAGTTTCGTTCCTGGGAAATGGAAATTTGTCTGCAAGTCGATCATGTATTTGATCGATACATGATCGATTTCCACATTTGCGGGACTTAGGGGCATAGGATCCCCATTAAAGTGGAAAACCTGTGAATATTTCTAACCACTTCCCAAACTCACCACTGTCTTCTCCCATGCAGCAAGGAAATGCCAGAGATATTTCCCTCTCCAGATGGGTTGGATAGGAAGGTCTGTTTACGAGACTTCCTTCTTTCCCCCTTTCTCTTTCTCTCTCTATAGAGATGACAATTTTACTCAGTAATTTCTAAAAATTAAAAAGCTTTATGGCAGTTCGTTCATAAGTATGGGTTGTTCTTAACTTGGGTGTTTGTAAATCGGGGACTGCCGACTATTTTGCTTTAAACAAAAGTAACTGAAGCCATGATACCTCAGAATGAAACTGTATATATAAGTAGCAATTCAATTAGTTTTCATTAGTTGTAATGAATGCTATATAACAGAAGAGAGAACTAGCTATAATTTGATATAGTACCTGAATCAACAAAGCCATTGCTATGGTCACTGTTTTGCCTTTAAAAGGTGAACACACCAAATGAGAGAAGCACTAAACTGACAGTAAACAAAAAAAACACACAATGCTCTAAACTATACCTTGCTAAACTGTTTTGTTTTCTAACATGTCAAAATCACAGAATTTGGCATTTGAACTGCAGTGAATCAATTTATGATCTTAAAATAATTTATATCAGAATCATTATAATTTTCCTTCACAAGAAGAAAAATGGAAAATTATTTTAGCTTTAACACTTCAAAAATATCCCTTTCCTAGCAGTTTTAATAGATAATACATCTATCAATGGGATAGATAATAAATCTGTCAGTGGGATTATCTGTTACTTAATAGATAATCAGATCTATCAATTATATAGTCCTGATGGCTATATAATTATAGTTACAGTAGCAGAGGCATTGTGACTCCATGTGCCAGTTGCTATGGAATGTGAATGGATGCTACTACACTCATGTTCTGCTTGTGGTCTTCCAATAGGCACCTGGCTAGCTACTGTGGAAACAGAATGTTGGTCTATATGTGCCTATGGTCTAATCCAGCAAGGGCTGCAATAACATTATGGTCTCCTAAGTCACCAGCATTGACATGGGCAATTTTTTTCCAGAAGCCCATCTTTCTTCTTAAAATATATTTTTTCTGGAATGGGCATTGGAAACTTGTTAATATTCCCTTGATATGGAAAGAACATCCAGTTTCTATTTTACAACTACACATCCATTTTCACCATATTAATGGCTCTTTTTAGAAAGTCAGGCATCTAGATTTTCCCCCATGCATAACTCTAAAACACAGAGAAAATGTTGGCATAAATTCCAAAGGGTTAAGCCATTTTTATCTATCCTGGGTCTCTAACAGCCTCTAGAAAGTGGGGGAAATGAATATTTTGGATTATCTTGCCTCTTCCTCTAAGTTTTGTACTGTTCCTAGACCCATCCCCAAAAGGAAAGTAGCAGCAGAGGAAGCTTACTTGTAAAAGAAACAGAAATTGAATGATAAAGCAGAAGGCACATCAAAGCCATTAAGTCAACAAAAGCCAACAAAGCTAAATGAAAAATAGCTGATTTTCAGTATACGTATGTCAACAGTCTACTAGTAACAAAACTATCTTCTCAGAGTCAGAAAGAAAAAAATCTAATTTTTACATTTCAAGTTCATGATTTGCAAGAATACATAGTTTGTTGTTCTATAATCCTACCTTGGAGTACCTCTGACAAGTTATAACGGAAGTCCTTTGCTTTGGCTGCATGCATGTAAAAATATAGACATTATTATTCACATCAGAACCAAAAATATTAGCTATATGATTCTTCTTCCATTCAACCTATTCTTCTTCCCATTTTTTCTGTAATACTGGTTACGAATACATACAAAATACCTGGGGTTTTCCCTTCATCTCCAGGCTTAGAATCTAGTTAAGTGCAACTTTATTCATTGCTGCAACCAGAATTAGAATTTTTCAGAATAAATACTATTCTTAAACTTTTGAACCTGAATTTTAAAATTGTAAATGCATATTTCTTAACATATTTTAAAATTTGATTTAAGTACTGCAGAAATTCTTACCTAGAACTTCTTCATAATCGACAAGTTCAAACCAAACCACAGCAACTGACGTCCATACTCCCAGCAGTGCAATTACCATAAACCATGTAAAAAAAGAACTTCCAGAAAGGCCTTCTTTCTTGTTCCCTCCATGTTTTGCCTCTGTAAAATAAAGAATGTAAATTACTACTAGAAGATACAGCAGTGCCTAACTTTGCAAATATGCTATTTTACAAAGATTCAGAAAAAGAAACTATGTTTATGTTGCAATTATTTGCATCTAGTTTTGTGTCAAAGAAACAATGTCAGTTAATGAAACCTGATGACAAGAACCAGCCACCTGCAATATTGAGACTGTATGTGTTTGCAATCCCTATCTCCTATTGGCTTAATAAATTTAGCTAATGGGGTATGATGAGTACAGGTTGCAGTTAACCAATCTTTGAGTATCTGCTGCCCTTAAAAATGCAATAGTACAACTGCTCATGAAAAGAAAACTACCTTCAATCCAGTGGATTGTGACAGTTACTAACTTTTGATAATCCCCATTTTAAGAGAAGGTACTCAAGCAGGTGTATAGAATTTTGTCCTTAGGGGTCAAAATACCCTGGCCCTCCTTGGTATTATCTGTCTTGATTTGGGTGAGGGCACAATTTATTGTTCCACTGCAAAGAGTAAAATGTTTAATGCCAACCCTGCCAAAGGAAGCATGAAATAAGATGTAATAAGTAAAAGCTATCATTCATTATTATTGGAACACTGTATTAGGAGAATACCTTTATTAATCAAACCCAAGTTACAAAACAGTTCAAGCTTTCAAATTTTTTTTTTTTTTAACTTCTTGATTGGGGAGATAGTAAACAAAGCAAAATAAGGGGATATTATTGAATTCATGTAATCTAAATTTAGTTACAGTTTTAAGAGGAAAGCTCAGAAGAGGTTGCAAACATTCAACATCAACTGTACCCGGTGCTATGATGGTTGCACATTGCACCAATAGCTGTTATTAGGACTTCTGGGATGAAAAAACAACAATGGCTAGGTTCAGACAACACAATAACCCACATACATGGACTAAGTATGGGTTGATGTTGTACTGTTATTTGTGATGTTGCATAGGTTATTTGTGTTGTCTGATTCAGTTGCACTAACTATGATTTTTTTGCAACAAACACTCCTTGAAGAAGACCCATAGTTTGTTATTGGGTTGTGTACAGTAGGTTGTTTACAGTTAAACAATCAAACTGTAATTGGTTATTAAAGCTGGATTTGGACAACAAAACACACCTTTCAACAGCAACTCACACAGAACCAGCAACTGGTTTATTCTATTGCCTGGATCCAGCAAATGCACCATTATTAAAATATAAAATACATATGGCTTGAAATGTTATCCTTCAGCCAGGCACACAAGCTGTTTGATAGGTAGAAAACATGAGGTGAAAGGAACAAGATTGTTTTTTATATTAAGACTGAGAGGAAGCTTTATTATATTAAGCCAGCCATGTGGAGGATTGCTCAGTAATAGAACCCAAGTTTTGTATGCAGAAAATCCATGAGGGTTCCTGTAATCTCAGCACAGATTCAGGCTAGAAATGAATCTTGCCTTAAACTCTAGAGGGTTGTGCCAGTCAGTGTTGACAATACCAGACTAGATAGATTAACTACGTATAAGCAGATTTCCATGTTCTGTGATAACTTTAGATCATGTACTACATAGAAGGTTAATAGAAACCAAGTGGTATTAACAACACACACCTTTTCCTCCCATACTTGAATATTATTCTTTCTAACTTCAGCTACTAAGTAGAGCTACCCAACTGGGCTTTTACTGGCAATAGTCAATTTATCTATTTTATTCTAATTTATGTTGTAAGCCATCCAGAGATGCAAGTAATGGACGGCATACAAATTTATAAATAAATTTAAAAGGCTGAGAATTCCTAATGGCCACTGAATCAAAAGTTACGGCTTTAAAGTTAATATTGAAGCATCAGTTAATCCCAATCCTCTACCCCAATTTCATTACAGCTTGTCTACTCATACAGCCAAGAATGTATAGAATGTATTAAATAATAATTATGTAGTGCTTCACCCACTCTAATTTTCCCTAAAATATCTGAATTCAGAGTATAGCCCTGAATTCATTTCTGAAAAGGGTCAATTATGAACTGTGCTTGAAGGACCAAGACAGCAATCCTATGTACACTTAGATGGACATAATCCCCATTAACACACTGGAACTTACTTCTCAGTAAAGAAGTATAGATCTGCATTCTAAGTATAAGGAGAGGATTGGATCCAGAAGAGGCATTTAAAGGCATTAATAGATATTTAGGATGAAGGCATGCAAATAGCTTAAACTGTGAGAGATTATCTTTCCTCTGAGCCAGTGAACAATTTTGCACAACAACTTGTGCAATGATCCCTGAAATCTATAAACTGTTTTTCATTTAATGTAGCTTTTAAAGCAATAATGTAGAGAAATAAGATGAATGAATATTTTCCCACTAGTTTTAATATGCAAGGATACTTTTCTCTTCAGTATGAGAGAGCAGGTCAATTTGAATGCTCTAATTTATGGGAAAAAATAAACAGATCAAAAATTTCAAGCCTAGCAGACAAGCAAAATCAGAATGGAAATTCCAAGAGCGATCAAGAGCTGGAAGCAATTTAAAAGCTTACTGAACAAATTAACCACCTTAACTGATGATAAAGAACAGCAGACTTGTCAGGTTCTGCTCATAATCAAAACCACACATATCAGTTTCACAGATCTCAAGTAGTCTAATTTTGCCTCACTCACTATGAAACCTAAGTGTGAAATGTTGCTTTTGTTGTTTTTTTAACACTAATGCTATATTCTGAATGTTACATTTTAATTGACTTGTTAAATGATAGTACAAATAACCATTTGTAGGAGATAAAAAATAGAAGTATCCTCAGTAAGAAATGCTTTTCTCTTATCTATTCCTGCCTATGGTGTACACCAGTTCCTCTCCCATTTTCTTCCCTTCTATTTTGGGCATTCACTGAGATGCTGTTTTAGGAAAATCCATTCAGAATATGTACTCTCTCCTGATTCAGTGTTTTTTGACATCACATTCCATTGGCCCAGTCAGCATGGCCAAGCGTCATGAATGCCAAGAGGTGTTTTATCAAAAAATCTGGAAGGTACCAGGTTGCATGCTGCAATTACACTATGCTGATTTTAAAAAATCCTGTATGACTTTTTTGGTTCCTTAATTTATTTTTATAGGAAAGGCATATAATCCAATACACATTTTAATTACAGTTGTAATTCAAAATGGGTCCAATAAATGTTAGAAGTCTACCAAGGTTTTTTAATAAATGATCAATGGTAGAATGGTAGAGCTTCATGGACAAATGGAGGGTAGAACTTGGGTTTCTTGAATCGCCATCCAACACTCTAACCACTATACCACACTGGCTTTCCTTTATAGCAATATATATTTATACATTCATACAGCTGTATCATGTCATCACTGAAATATATTCACACACAATTTTATAACATCTCTATTTTTAGAATTGTGAAGCCATTACTGTTACACCTATACAAGTCACTAAGGAACACTCAAAACATTCATCGGAAATATTTTTTTAAAAAACATTTACGTTCTTCAGCTATGCCAATTAAACCTTGGCTTTTTTTTCATTTATGTTTGCAGCATTTTACAATTAGATCATCAATTCTGATCTAAAAAGCATCCATTAAGAACTATTTACTAATAACTTATTCCAGAAAAGTAAGTAGAAGCCTTGCATGCTGCCAGCAATGAAGAAAGTAGGTCAATTTCCATATCTGGCAAGCCCTTTTCACTTGCCATGTGTCTATATAAGTATCACAATCAGCTAAATTACAGTTATGCATTTACAAAATATATAAAAATGGAGAAAACTATATTAGCAAAATCCTGCAGTCTGATTTTCTATGCAAAGGATCTCTCAAACCAGAAAAGAAATTCTGTTGGTATTATTGTTGATCTTTTGATTGTGGAAAATAAGCTTCCACAGAGAAAATAAAAGTCTAACTTTTGAATTTCTTAAATTTTATTTAATCACACTGAAGTTATTTCATAACATACTTACAGTTTTGTTCCCCAGAATAATCATAACCATATTCTCCCCGCACCCTCAAAGCTGAGAACTGTACCTGAACTTTCAGCCATGGTATCAGTGTCTTTTACCCAAGAATGAAGTAGAACTGAATATAAAACAAGTGTCCAGGATAGAATCAGTAAAAATCCATCCTCATATAAGCCTTGAAACTGCAGCAAAAAAAAAAGTTTCTGATGGTCAACTCAGCTAAAACCTGAAATCAGACCCGGCTGCACACTCCTCAAAAGCTATTTTTAGTGTGATCATCTGCAAGCAAAAAGCTTTTAAGTACCCATATGGAAACCCAATGCTGACGACAATCAAATTTACCCCCTCCTACCAGCAAAGCATCCTGGGTACTCAGTCCCTTCCGTCTCATTTAATTTCTAAACACCAGCATACCAGAGAAGCAAAATGAGAACAGATTAAAAAAATGATTGCAGGAAAGTATGCCTCAGTGACTAAATTCTAAGAGCATTAAACCTTCTGTACAAACTCAAACAAAAGTCAGGGCACAAAGCTTGTCTGTGGATTCTGGGCATTGGCCAAATTTACTTCCTGCTGACATTCAGTCATTACATGAGTTTCTTGAGAGTTCTGAATAGATAATCTATAAATCTGCCTGTACTTGATACAATGTAATTCCCCACTTACAGCACAGAATTTACAATCATTCTGAAACCACTAGGATTAAGTGACACTAGGATTATTTCTCTCTCAATCTTGATAATGATTTCTAACCTAAATAGGAAAGCATTACAGCATTTCTGCAAGATCCATGGCCTTGGATTTGGATAAATTTAAGGACAAAAGTTTGCTTCTACTGAGGAGTTAGCAGTGAACAATTTCTACATCCTAATGGGAAAAAGGGCAAAATACCACCTATTTAAATGTTCTCTTTACTGCAGTCCAATATGCACCTTAGTAGCTCCTAAGTAACAGCATTATAGGCCCCATCCAGCTTCCTATATAGTAAAGTTCAAAAGCTCTAACAAAAATCACCAAATGATGCCTCAACAATTCCCTCCTCATGAAGTAAATGCTGAAGCTCCCTAATACATTTACTGGAAAAATTACTACTAAATGCAAAGAACAGAAAACTATCACACATACAGAGAGTTGGTTCACATGATTAAAATAAGCCACGCTACCTGGAAATTGCACCCTACATGTGCAGGTATTTAACCAGATAAGCCACCATGGCTTACTTTGATCATGCAACCTAGGCCAGAGACCCAGTCTGCAAAGAACCACCACTCATGGGTTAAATAATGACCGGACCAACAGCTGGACACCCCATTGCCTCTATTTAGTCTTTATGTGCTGCCCAGCATAGCTTTATACAGATGCCCAGGGCCTGCTATATGCTGGCCCTTAGGACACTACAGACTCATTCAAGGCTTTCTGTAATATACTTGATAGGTATAATAATAATAATAATAGGTATTTCCATGACAATTTTTTGTATCTACTGGAACTTAAGGCTCCATTGTTATTACAGTTGAATCAAATGTGCCTAGGGCACATTCTGGTCCAATTAGAAGTGGAAATACTGCAGTGCAGTGGTTCTCCTGCTACTTGGATGGTCTACTCCTGAGGGTGGTGCTTGGAAAATATTGCTCAGTCCCATGGTTTATCCAGCATTATGTACATTGGAATGTTATGTTGCATTTCATTGTATTTAATTGTACTAGTATTTCTACAGTCATCCAACTTTGCAAATGTACCTTTTTATGAATTGTTGTTAACTGTCCAGAGAGCTTCAGCTATTTAGTATTTATTTATTTATTTATTAAAACATTTTTATGCCGCCCCATTCGCCGAAGCCTCGGGGCGGCTTACAACATAGATAAAACAAGTTAAAATCCATATAAAATAATCTTAATTAAAACTCACATTATAAAATAAGCCGCCCTGGCCAGATAAAATTCAATTGTATTTAGCATTTAAAATGTTGCTTAAATAAAAAGGTCTTAGCCTGGCGCCGAAAAACAAATAACGACGGCGCCAGGCGGACCTCTCTTGGGAGCGCATTCCATAACTTAGGCGCCACCGCTGAGAAAGCCCTTCTCCGAGTAACCACCCTCCTAATTTCTCTCACGGAGGGCTCCCGGAGAAGGGCCTCTCCCGCCGATCTCAGGGGGCGACTGGGCAAATATGGATGTAAGCGCTCCTTCAGGTAACCAGGACCCAAGCCGTTTAGGGCTTTATAGGTCATTACCAACACCTTGAATTGGGCCCGGACTTCAATGGGGAGCCAGTGAAGCTGACGGAGAACTGGCGTCATGTGAACATAACGTCCAGTCCCCGTCAGCAGCCTGGCAGCTCTATTCTGAACCAATTGAAGTATCCGGACCGTCTTCAAGGGTAGCCCCACGTAGAGCGCGTTACAGAAGTCAAGACGGGAAGTCACCAGCGCATGAGTCACTGTTGCAAGGCAGTCGTACTCCAGGTAGGGGCGCAGCTGATGAATCAGCCGAAGCTGGAGGAAAGCGCTCCTCGCCGCTGTTGTCACCTGAGCTTCAAGTGAAAGCTCCGGGTCGAGGAGCACTCCCAAGCTGCGGACCTTGTCCCTAGGAGGGAGTGCAACCCCATTCAGGACAAGGTTCAGGTCACCTTCTCCGAAGCCCGAACCGCCAACCAACAGGACCTCCGTCTTGTCTGGATTGAGCTTCAGTTTATTGGCCCTCATCCAGCCCATTACCTCGGCCAGGCACCGGTTCAGTACAGCCACTGCCTCACCTGGATTGGTGGAAAACGAGAGGTAGAGCTGGGTATCATCAGCATACTGATGGGTCCGCAGCCCACACCTCCTGATGACCTCTCCCAGCGGTTTCATGTAGATATTGAACAGTAAAGGGGACAAAATGGAACCCTGCGGTACCCCATGGCAAAGCTGCCATGGCGCAGAGCCATAGTCCCCCAACACCACCTTCTGGAATCGGTCGTTGAGATAGGAGCGGAACCACCGCAAAGCGGTGCCTCCGAACCCCAATCCCGCCAGCCTATCCAGAAGGATACCATGGTCGATGGTATCGAAAGCCGCTGAGAGGTCCAGGAGAACCAACAGGGACGCACTCCCCCTGTCCTTCTCCCTGCACAGGTCATCGTACAGGGCGACCAAGGCAGATTCAGTACCGTACCCGGGTCTGAAGCCGGACTGAAATGGGTCCAGATAATCAGTTTCATCCAAGAGTGCTTGGAGTTGTCCCGCCACCACTCGCTCTAACACCTTGCCCAGAAATGGGATGTTGGCCACTGGTCTATAGTTAGCGGCCATCCCTGGATCCAGTGACGCCTTCTTCAGGACCGGTCGGACTACTGCCTCCTTTAAAGGGGCAGGCACCCGACCCTCCCTCAGAGAAGCGTTAACCACTTCCAAGATCCAGGTTCCAATCCCGTGCTTGGAATCCTTTATTAACCAAGACGGGCAAGGGTCCAGAAGGCAAGTGGTAGGACGTACTCGTCCAAGCACCTTGTCCACATCATCGGGCCGCAATAACTGAAATTCATCCAATAATTCTGGACCAGACGGCAGCGTTGGTGTCTCCCTTAAAACCTCTGAATCAATAGTGGAATCCAGCTCGTGACGAATCTGAGCGATTTTCTCCCTAAAATGCTCGGCAAAGTCGTCACAGCGGGCCTTTGAGGGTGGAATCAGCTCTTCCTTTGGCCCTGGGTGAACCAGGCCTTGCACCACTCGAAAGAGCTCCGCCGGACGGCATTGTGAGGAGGCAATGGAAGCGGAGAAGTGTCTCTTTTTCGCCGCCCTCACCGCCACAGCATAGGCCCGATAGTGGGCTCTTAAGTGTGTTCGGTCAGATTCATCACGTGATTTCCTCCACCTACGCTCTAGCCGTCTCCCAACCTGCTTCATTGCCCTCAATTCTGGAGTGTACCAAGGGGAAGAGCGGGCTCTGCCCGGTGGGAGAGGACGCTTAGGAGCGATCGTGTCTACAGCCCTGGTCATCTCCCCATTCCACAGTTCAACCAGAGCCTCGACAGGAGCACCCGTCTTGTCAGCCGGAAACTCCCCCAGAGCCTTCAGGAATCCTTCCGGATCCATCCGGCTCCGGGGGCGGACCCACACAATCGGGTCTGCACCCTTACAGAGGGAGATGTCGCTCTCGAGCACAAACCTCACTAGGAAGTATGGAGATGAAACTCTACCACCACCATCCAGGACTACCTTGATCAAACCAGACTAATAATTTCCTGATTTAAATTGACAGAAGCGAGATCATTTGAATCAACAAATCAGTTTAAAACCAATTTAAAATGTTAAACCATTTTATCAAAAGTTACAGCAACTAGAAGGAAATCATTTAAAGCAGTTGATATAGACTGTTCTAGCAAATTTGTAATGCACAATTTAAAAAAAAAATCTTCCTTAGCTATGGCAGAAAGCTCAACATATACCAGAAAGTTAGCAATAAATCTTTCTCTTTTTTAAAATAATTGATCCAAATTGCATCATTAAGTGCAAAATGGTGGTCTTTGGCAAAAGGTCAAAGAATTAGCCAAACAGATGCATATATTGAACATCACTTCTTCTAAATCAGTGATACCCAGCAGAAAGCATTTTGTTCCTGGGGTTGATCTAGAACAGCGGTTGTGAACCTATGGCATGGGTGCCACTGCGGGCACGCAGAGCTCTGTTGGCACACGAGTCAAGTCACCCACCATCGCCCCAGCAGCCGAGCATCAGATAACAGTGCACATAGGGGCCATGCACATGCTCAGAAACGAGTAGCGGCTCCAGGTGATGTCACGAGCCACAACTCATTAGCCGCGACTTGTCCAAGCTTTCGCATGGCCGCTCAGTACCAGGAATGGATGGATGGATTGATGGATATATATACAGCACACACACACACACATATATATGCATGCATGCTTGGACTGGCTGTGACGTGTTTTTCCTAAACTAAAACCTCAGTATTCAGGTTTTATTGCACTGTTGGCACTTTGCAATAAATAAGTGGGTTTTGGGTTGCAGTTTGGGCACTTGGTCTCTCAAAGGTTCGCCATCACTGGTCTAGAAGAATCAGCCATAGAATAAAGCAGTAGGTCCTGTTGGTTGGCGGATCGGGTTTCGGAGAGGGTGGATTTGACCTGGTCCTGAATGGTGCAACACTCCCTCTTAGGGATAAGGTCCGCAGCTTAGGTGTACTCCTCGACCCGGAGCTTTCTTTGGAAGCTCAGGTGACAGCGGTAGCGAGGAACGCCTTCCTTCAGCTTCGGCTGATTAATCAGCTGC